ACAAAACACAACAGGTTAATACAGAAAGTCAGGGGAGGAATGAAGACACGTGTTTGAAAATTTAACAAATGGGCAATGCAGATTTGTATCTTGTGTCAATCAGAGGCAATCTTTGACAGATTGACAGTGAAAGAGGGATGATAGCCAGGGTGGGACTGACCATGATGGGCTTTGAAAGGGAATACAAGCAACTTATGTTTGATGTGAGAGAGAAGGTGGGGCCGGAGGAGGAACATAACACATGACTTAGTAGCAGCACTCTGACTGCCAAGCCCAGAAAGAAGGTTGTTGCAGTAACTGAGACATGAGAGGACTGGAACTTGGGTAAGCGTTTTAGCTGCCTCAATAAAAAAGAAAAGCTGTGTCTTAGAAATGTTATGCACAAAGAATCAGCAAGACTGAGATGTAGTCTAGATGTATGGACCAAGAGGGAGGTCCTAGCTGAAAACGACTCACTGGGTACCACATGTTGGAGCAGTGGTAAGGAAAACAGGTGCTAATTCACATGCTATCAAACTCAATGGCTATGTCTAGATTGCATCCCTTTTTCGTAAAAGGGATGCAAATTAGACATATCGCAATTGCTAATGAAGCAGGGATTTAAAACTCCCCCGCTTCATTAGCATAAAAAACAATTGCTAATGAAGCGGGGATTTAAAACTCCCCCTCTTCATTAGCATAAAAACGGCTGCCGCTTTTTTTCAGCTCGGAGCTTTGCCGGAAAAAAGCGCCAGTCTAGACGCTGATCTTTCGGAAAATAAAGCCTTTTCCAAAAGATCCCTTATCCCTCTTAAAATAAGTGATAAGGGATCTTTTGGAAAAGGCTTTATTTTCCGAAAGATCAGCGTCTAGACTGGCGCTTTTTTCCGGCAAAGCTCCGAGCTGAAAAAAAGCGGCAGCCGTTTTTATGCTAATGAAGAGGGGGAGTTTTAAATCCCCGCTTCATTAGCAATTGCGATACATCTAATTTGCATCCCTTTTACAAAAAAGGGATGCAATCTAGACATAGCCCATGAGCTTTAAGTCCTTCTGGGAAAAATATCAAAACATAATAACAAATATTCACCTCACTAAAACAACGACATGACCAAAGCAAGCAGGGCAAAGCCACATACCAGCTGAAGTCAATGGTAAAATTCCCATTGACTTTGATGCCACCAGAACTTTTCTGAAAAATTTTAATGAAGACAAATCCAATAGCTGAGAACTATAGGGAAAATTCTGGCCCCATAGACACAACTGGGAGTTGCCATCCATGAGACCAGGATTTACACAAATTTTCCAGAACTGGAAGTTGTTAAAGTGCTTAGCATTATGAACTAGCCTACAGGTGTGAGTGATCATAAAAAAAATCTAGAAGGAAAATAATGTTCCATCCGAATGGAAAGGCAGAAGAAGCACTCCATGAAATTAGGTGAGGGATTCTCTGGCTGGCATGACTAACTGCCATATTCCCCAGCAATTTGTGAAGAAATGAAAGTCTAATTGTAATATTCAGTCAAATAACTGGAAATGGTACTTGGCCAGTGCAAAATTAGAAGCTGCACACATTAAATGAGATAATTTATTGAAGCAGAACATTAACAACAACAAATACCAATAGTTAATCAATCTTCAAGCCACATAAAACCCATTTGATATGACTTTTCCAAATATCCTTTGTTAATAACTTGTTATTGTCATTATCACACATGAAAGAGCACTGCAGATAGTATAGCAAGGGTCTGATTCATCACTCTGTTACTGCAGCTTTATGATGGTATAATGTCATTGATTTCTATAGCATAACATTAGCATAAAACTGGGGTAACACAGAGATAACTCTGCTCTTGATTATTCTTTTTCCTGAAATTTCACAGCATATTCCTTAGGCCTGGTCTACAGTAGAGGATAAATTCAAATTAAGATACAGGCAGTCCTCGGGTTACGTACAAGATAGGGACTGTAGGTATGTTCTTAAGTTGAATTTGTATGTAAGTCGGAACTGGTACATATTGTAGGGGAAACTCTAGCCAAACATTTCTCCAGAGCTCAGTTTTATTCTCCCACACCTCACTTCCCTCAGTCCTTTATTCTCAAGCTGAGGTGTCTGCTGAGAAAAGCCGCTCCGCGTCTCCCTGGTCTGTTGGGGGGGCGCTAGCTTCACGTCTCCCTGGTCTGCTGGAGGGAAGCAGCTAGTGCGGGGTTGCCTCACCCCATTTGTAAGTAGGGATCCAATGTAAGTTGGATCCATGTAACCCGGGGACTGCCTGTATACAACTTCAGCTAGGTTAATTGTATAGCTGAAGTTAAAGTACCTTCACTTGAATTTTTGCACTGTCCACACTGCAGGAAGTCGAAGGGAACACACTCTCCCTTCGACTTCCCTTTCTCCTCGTAGAAGCAGGATTACCGGCATCAACAGGAGCACCCTCTCACTTCAAATTAGTGTGTCTTCATTAGCCCTCCTAATTTGAACCAGGAAGATTGACTGCAGCTGCTTCGATCTTATCTGTAGTGTAGACATGGCCTTAGAGACAATGGGTCAGATTCAAATGTGATGTGTAAAGTGATGTAAGTTATACATTAGTGGGTAGGTGTAAAGAGTCTAATTGAGTGTCAGCCGGAGCAATTTACAATGGGGCCAGAAGAAGGGGGTTTATCAGTGAAAGAAACTAATAGCTGTATGATAAAGTAGGTCAACCCCTCAACAGGACATTTCTCCAGACTCGGAGTGTGAATGGGACACACTCAGATTCACTTCCATGCACTTTACTACAATTAACCACCCTTTGAATTTGGTCCTATATGAACATTTCAAACTTCTGATCCTCCAGGGTTCCTGATTTCTTTCTCCAGTGAAAAGAGGGATTGATATAAAGGGATGAAAATGGAGTGGGAACGGCAGCAAGATTGTTTGACAGTCAGCATAGTTTTAATGTTGTATGAGTCAACTGCAAATGAAATGGGACGTATGTGATCTGGTGGGAGGTCTGTTTTGCTATGATGCAGAGACATTCTAGTTCACTATAAGACAACGGAATCTTAGATTCTGCTCAAAGGGAGGGATGATAGCTAGTTATTATAGCTTCTATTACTTCCTAAAGAAATTTTGCTCTGTGAATTGGTCAGAGTATGTCTACACAGTAGCACATACCTCAAAAAAGCTATGCAATTTGAGCTACACAAATTGCGTAGCTTATTTCGAAATAGCTTATTTTGAAATTTGGTGCTGTCTACACACAGCACTAATTTAAAAATAAATCGCTATTCTGGAGTCTTCCTTAGCCCTCGTGCAACAAGGTTTACAGGAAGACGGAATAAGAAGCCTGTTATTTCAAATGTATTTCAAAATAATGGATGTGCTGTTAAGACGCGCAGAATGCTATTTCCGGAAAACAGATGCTATCCTGAAATAGCGCCTCTGTGCAGACGTACCCTCAGTGTGCACAGTGCATTAGTATCCACTGGTAACCAAATCCATCCCTTTTTCATTTTATCTTTGTCCAATAGGACAAAAAGTGGGAGTCTCAAATTCCTTCCTGACTCCATGACTAACAAAATATATTTTAGAGGTTGGGGTTAGTGGATAATGATTTTCTTTCACAGAAAACTTTTCAAATTTTTTCCCAATCAAATTGGCACAGAATGTCAAACTCTTGAACATTTTGCCCGCCCCAATATGAGAAAAAAAAATTATTTCCAGTCAATCAAAATATTTTGTTTTGCATTCAACTTTTTAAATTCAAAATTATTATTACCTATATTTCTAAATGAAAAGTTGTTCCAAACCAAACAATGAGAACTTCTCGTGTCGAAAATGTCAAAATGAGATGTTTCAACAATTTCAAGGCTTGTTTCCCAAAAGATTTTTAAATCAGGAAATTTGTCAAAACTAGCCCTTTCTTGCAAAAAAAGTTTTGGTTTTTGACAGATCTCATTTTTTGCCAGAAAAAAAGGTTTTCTTGAAAAATTTCTGAATAGCTCCAGGATTCATACACTCACATTCTCTCTCCTCCCGAGGACAACTTTCCAGTCTCATTTACAGATCTACAACTGTAACTGTCTTCAGGCAGTCCCAAACCCGGGATTTCATCGCATGTGCTTCTACAACTTGAGCTATGAAGCCAGCTGGCTCTCACATATGGCTGTAGAGCTCACTCACTCTTATCTCTTGATGTAAATGGTCTAAGTGCCACTACATGGGACAGTGATCCACACCCAGTAGGTGTGTGGGTTACACTACCTTAAAGGAAATTGCTGTGCACATTAGAACAGATTACAGAGCATGTTCTCAAGCTGTTTCATTTTTGTTATATTTGCTATCAATGGGAATTTCACATACCTTGCTGCAGTAGTGCCTCACCCCAGGAGAAAGCCCATTAAAGTCACTGAGGCTACTTGGACACAAAGAGTATGTCTACACTGCAATGCTATTTCGGGATAAATAGCTACCCCACATCTTTTGAACGCGTCCGCTATTTTGAAATATAGCGGATGTGCTATTTCGTCATCCCTGTAAATCTCATTCTACGAGGAGTAAGAGATGACTCGAAATAGTGCTTTATTTCAAAATTTGGCGCTGTATAGACAGCGCCAAATGACAAAATAAGCTATTTCGAAATAGACTCGAGATAAGCTACGCAATTTGCATAGCGCAAATTGCGTCTCTTATTTCAAGTTTCAGGTGCTGTACAGACACACCCAAAGATACTAATCAGTCTCAGTGCAGGTAACAGAATTTAACCAATAATTATTAAAAAAAATGTCCCTTCACAAACTAGGTTCTGACTCGCTGAGGTACTTTAGTACGTGCCTTACTTTAAGAAGGTGAGTAATCTCATTGAAATCAATCAGACTCCTCAAGTATTTCAAGCTATGCACACGTTTAAGTACCTTAAGGGCTTACATGTGGGTAATTATGACCGATGATAATTTATGATAACAAAAATGCTAAATAATCTTGTATCTCAAACACTGTAATATTGTATAATAAACATTGTAATACTGTAATTACTTACGAATCCACGTGGTTTTCAAAGGAAAGGAGGATTGGAAAAGGCGATGTCTTAAATGCACACTCAGCAATAGCTTCTATTACTTCCTAAAGAAAATAGGACACACATTGGTTACAAACCTCTCACGTCTAAAGGAGATACATTTTGGTTCCTGATCTAACTTACCTAGCTGCCAAGAAAATACAAAAGACCTCAGTACTTTCCAAAGTCATGCCCAGATTTTTTATTGTGAACAACCTGAAAAGCTCTGGCTATGATTTTGGAGTCTGTTCTACAATCTAATCTCCAAATGATTGTAAGCTTAAAGTGTTATCTCATCTCAGGCATTTTTATGCCTCTCTGTGATTGAACTGATAGTTTATTGTAAAACTTTTTGCCAGTCATGATTCCATGCCTAAAGCTAAACCTGTCATGGTTTATTTTGAATAATTAAAATAATAATGTTTTCTTTGACATGCCTATCTTTCTAAGCAATATCTTTCTTTTTCTCTTTTCTTGTTTCTTCCTTTTCTTTTTCTTTATTTAATAAAATCCTTATTTACTCTTATGCACAAATTTCCAGTCCTCTCCTGTTTGATGTGGGAAGTCCCTTCAAGGTACAATATAAAAAAGACAGGGTGTAATAATCTATAAAACATATGAGTCAGAAATGGAACCATTTGTAAAGGCTGCCTTTCAGTGTTGACTGAAGATGGCAGTAGTTCTTCTATTCATTTTGGGAATTACTTTAGACATTAATTTTAGCTACATACCCATTTTATCTTATATCAATACACTTATTGTTAGAAATAATTCATATTTCCTTCTTGGAATACAAATCTGCTTCCATATGAACTTGTTTTAGCATTGAAAGGCTGTTATAACAATACAGTGATAAAAACAATCACGACTCAAGTACCAAAAATCATAAAGTAGAATCAAAATAATGAGGGTTGTTTATTGGGAGTTTTTTGATTTGCCTTATGGATTCTGAACTTTTTGGGTACATCTAGAATGCATGTTGATTTTGAAATAAGCTATTCCAGAAGAAATACTCCAAAATAGCATATTTCGAACTATCATGTCTACACTACAGGGAAGCCTCAAAATTAGTCTGAGGCAGGCTCTCCTAATGTAGATGTGCTATCTTGATTTGAGCCCCGGGAGGCACTGGGGAGTAATTATTTTGAATGGCCTTGTGGAGGAGTTATTTCGAAATAGCAGAATTATTCCTTGTTTAATGAGGTTTACAGAAGTTGGAATAAGCCGTCTGCTATTTTGAATTTATTTAGAAATAATGGTATTGCTGTGTAGATGCTCTCATTGTTACTTCCTAATAACGGCCGTTATTCCGAAATAAAGCTTCTGGTGTGGAGACGCACCCTTAGAAAGCTCCTTCCCAGCTCATCTTGACAACCATGAGGGTTAGAAATTAATTGTATTTTAATGAAAGCTGAGAGTCCAGTGCATTCACACAACTCCAGGGTCTAGGGTTTTAAGAAAAAACACCAAATACAGGAAGAGTTGACAACATTGCGAATATAATATTTATATTGTTCATGTCTCTATAGAGACATCAAATTAAATCTATACTGTATGGAGCAGACCCCCAGCTGAAGTCAATGGAAGAACTGAGTATATAACTATGTAACTATGTACATATGTACACAGACACACACACTCCCCATATAATAAATAGCAAGTTTACACACTTAACTACCTTCCCAAAACTCAGATTATTAACCTATTTCTACCAAGATTATTTCTCATTCTTTACCTCTAAGCAACTTCAAAAGCCATTTGTTTTTTTCTTTTCCCAAATGTAGACTGAGTCTGTCTGTATCTAGCCATAGATTTCTAGTTATAAGTTACTTTACAGAAGTAAAATCAATAAATAAATGGGTCGGGTATCTCTTGACCCATTACACCTAGCAGTAGACACTGCATATGATTGGACAGTGCAAAATATTTTGTCTAGTTGAAACTTGCGTCTAGCCCAGGTAAATCACAAAATATCAAAGTCTTTACATTTGTGACACTGGGTGGGATTTTTTTATTAGTGACTAGGTGATTTAGGCATCTAAGTCCCTTTGGAAAGCCAACATGGCTTGTACATCTAGTCATTAGGTCTTTGGAAAATCCCGTCCAATATGATCTACATACAGATTAGTTTAGCTCTTTTTTTAAATAAAGAGGTTTCTAAGATTTATTAGCTCTACTTTTTCCTTCCCTTTAGACACCATCACTTGCACACCCAGACTGCAAGAGCACCTGCACACATAATAAAAATAATCAAGCTGCAAGCCACCAACCCTATAGCATAAATCTATTTCTTATTTTGTATTAGACTTGGGCCGAGTAGTATTTATGGAATGCTCTTTCTAAGAGACCCCCATGCTCACGTCTGGGTGAAGGGTACAGCATGTATTACACTTTAGACATCTGCTAGTCAAAAGCAAAATTATCTTCTCAGATCCTCAAAGAGTGCAGCTAGCCGTAGGAATTGTGCATGGGCAGGGAGAGCACAGTACAAAAGCTAAGCACTCCATTGTGTATTTGGAAAGAGAGCTTTGCGCCACTTGTGGACTAGTTGTGTATAGTCATATGAAACTACTTTCTCGGCTGTCACGGCAACTCCTAAGATGGGATGAAAATACTGACTACAGGAGGAGAAAATGAAGCAGGGAAAAAGTCAGCTTGAAAGGGCTGGGATTGGCTGAATCTGTAAATATTGAGGTTCAAACATGGGGGTTAATGAATTGATGGCCCCCTTTGTAGATTCTGGGCTTTCTGCATCTTCATTTATAGACAGATTTGCTTTGGTCAGTGTCAAAGTCATGCTCAGATCCAGGTTTTGTTGCAGCAGGAGCACAACTTACTCGAAATGATTCTCCAATGTACACACACAAAATGTGTACATCTAGAAAGCAATTCCTGACTTTGACAAGAGGAATCTGGTTGGTTTTGTTATAAGGTCACACACTGGCAGCGGCTCCTAAACTGCAGCACACAGAAGCCTCACACATTGCTCCGAGTCATGAGAGGAAATAAAGAGCCAACACATGAAGCTGTTTCATGGGAAGTTCATATTACTTTTCGTCTCTACCCTTCAGAAAATCTACCGATGTCAGTGAAAATTGACAGGCTGAGCAAACAGCATTGCCTGTGACAGTCACACCAAAACCACGAACGGATCAATGACTTCCCATCCAATAGCCAGAGCCAATGATTGTTCAGAAGTTGTTCACATACCTTGGATGTGTTATGTCCCTACCACTTTGCTCATTCTACGTCAGCCGGCATACACGTTAGAGATGTAAAGAGAAGTGGCAAGAAATAAATAAATGCAAAAGGACGTTTGCACTGGGGTGAATAAAAGGCTTTGATTATACTAAAATTGTTCTTCCTACCACTTCAGACATTAGTAAGACATGAACTTGGTCCTGAAATCTCTTGTGTCCAATTCTTGTGTATGCTTTAAAGAATCAGACAGATTTTGCATTATACTTTAGTACATGTCTGAGGAGAAATTGAAAACCATCTTATTTTATTAAACAGATTTCAGAAACCAAATTCTATGCACACCTGCATCAATTAATTTCTCAACTGTGAAATGGGAAGGTTAGTAATGATGGCACCAGAGGCTATATTTTGCAATTTCCCGTGACTAAATCTATCCTCGTAGTTAGAGAAAACGAAAGAAAAAAAACCCCCAAACAAACAGACGTGGTGCAGTTCAAGTGAAATGTAGCTAGTTGGTGGTTCTGTTACTTATTTATTTTTTAAGTGAATGACTGTCAAGACAAGAAAACGCTTGTGCCTCACAGTGAAAATGATGGACACAAAATCGGTAACTGAAAATGGCCAAGCCTATTTCCTGTACTAAAAAAATACTCCATAGAAGGAGATATTTTCCCAAACGTCTTCTGCATATTAATAAGCCTAGAAATACATTTCCATAGAAAAAAAGGCAGAGGCCCTCCCTGAGTTACAAACATCCGACAAACAAACAAAAAGCTCACCTGCAGCCTTGGGGAGTGGGCAAGAGGCACAGGCGGTGGAGAGCAGTGCAAGCGATGGCTGGAGGACTCCGGAGGAGCAAGGGGCGGTCGCGTAGGCAGCCGCTTCCCTCCAGCTGCAGGACGGTCCCCTGCTCCTCCAGCGTCCTCTGGCTGCATTCACACAGCTCACTGCCTCCTGGTGAATGGGAGCTGGAAGCAGGAGCCAGCGCAGAGAGCCAGCCCGCGGGGGGAGGGAGGGGCGCAACAGGGGGTTGCTCAGATGTCCCCTTCAGAATCTCCACCTAGTTCCTCCTCATCCTCTAATTAAACCTGCCTTTCTTTGAGCACCAGAATTCAAGGTTAAACAAAAACCTATTTCTCCTCTATATCACTGCAAATATACAATATTTCAGCTGCATTATGGGTTAAATAGGCTTCTGTGGGCTAGCCTGGGAACCACCATTCGGGGCGGATGAGAGTGCTGTGGGGCCACGGGCAGCAAAATTTCATGGGGCCCCCCCTTTGACACGGCGCATGCTCCGTGGCGCCACGGCACATGTGTGGGGCCTCGGGAAGTGCAGGGCCCGGGACAGCCTGCCCACTCGCCCTGCCCTAAATCTGCCGCTGCCACCATTTATAACATTGTTGCTATGGGAGAATGCATTCCGAGTTCCAAAGAATCGACTTCCAAAGGACGGTTTGTAGCACAACCCATTCGCAAGCTGGGGACTTCCTGTTTTTAGAAGGCATTTCTCTCACAACTCTAAAATGCTGCTCCTACCTAGCATTTTAGATAATGTACTGTCACCACTATCTAACATTTAGTGCTAGAGGCACAGCACCACAGCTTCAGATCCAATATATACTGTCAACGGAAAAGAAGAGAGCATTATGGGCAATATCACATTACTGCTGTGGACTAACATTCGCTATTGATGACCAAACACAGATGAAGTTCAGAAGCCTAGAAATATTCTCTCTCTCCCTCTCTTTCTCTCTCCCTCATTCTTTCTACGCTTCAGCTCCTATCCCCAACTACCAGATTTATCTTCATGAGAAGGTCCAGCACATGACGGCTAACTTTTTGATTCATTGTGACAAATGCTCAGGTCCCCTTGACACTGTTCCTATCTCACCCCCTGGAGAGGCAGTCTACTGTCACTCTGCTTCTTGGAACGTACAGCTTCCTCCGTCACTTATTCACAGTTATTCTCTTGCTGCTTTCTCAGCTCCTGTGCTTTTGTTTCCCGCTCTCTCCCCATTAACCCGCTGAGTCCCAGGCTGTGGAAACCAGACTGTTCTGGGGAATCATGGGAATAGCATCTCAAGTGTCACTGAATGTGCCAGGCGTCTGGCAGCTTTTGAATGCCCAGAGGGGAAGAGGTCCTTTGCCACTATCTGTCTGCCCTCTTGCTTCCTTTCTCCCTCAGGGAATGCTACACAGCAGTTCTCCCTCCGGGCCTTTCCGTGGTGTTAGTGCTGATAGTCAGAACTGCCGGGGAAGAGGAATGAGGAACCAGCGAAAGGAGGGAAAACACATGTCAGCACACTTGGCAGGGAGGGGGAGAGTTGGAGCTTTGCCCCTTTCTCTGTCAAAATTCTCATCCAAGCCTTCTTCTCTTGGGCTGTGTCTATACTACAAGCCTCTTCCGCAAGAGGAAATGCAAATGGAGCACTCATTTGCATATGCCGCACTCTCATTTTCATGTCCTCTTCGGATCCCTTTTGTGCAAGAGGTTTCTGCATGAAAAAGAGCTGTGTAGATGGCTCCTTTTTATGCAAAAGGGGGGTTAAGTTTCGATGCAGCCTTGTTTGGACTAATTTTGTCATGGCTTCAGTTCCAGCTCTACCCACTCCCGCCTGTGCAGGATTACCCTGTCTGTTTTCTCACCTGTACAAAGAACAGTGCTCACAAAACCCTCTATCCATAGCCAATTCCACTGGCTCCACATTCAGCTCAAGACACCATTCACCCATGCCTCCTTTTTCTATAAAACCTGCCTATAAAACATGTCTGGCTGCTCTTTCTATCATCTAGAGCTGGCCACTTTTCTGGCCTTGATGTGGTATCTCTACACTCGTGAACTTCTTCTTGCAGTCTGGACTATTGAATCCTCCTCCCGGCTACACGGGGCTCGAACTAGGTAGTTCGGACTAGGCTTCCTATTCCGAACTACCGGTACACCTCATTCCACCTTGTGAACAAGGTGTACCGGTAGTTCGGAATAGGAAGCCTAGTCCGACCTACCTAGTCCGAGCCCCGTGTAGCCGCGCTGCACTGGGTTCGAACCAGCGGGGTTGTAAAAATGGCGGCTCCCCGCTTATGCAAATGAAGCCCGGGAAATTCAAATCCCGGGCTTCATTTGCAAGTGCGATATGCCTACATTACCCTGCTAGTTCGAACTAGGAGGGTAGTGTAGACATACCCTCAGTCTCAATGGCTCTCCCTCTATTTTCAGCGCTCCTCTGAAAACATCTCTTTGCCTCTCCAGTTCTCGTTCCTTCTACCTTCACTGTATGAAGGCATTTAAGTCTGCCATGTGCGGGGACACATTTTACTTGCAAGAATCCCCCTCCCTCCCCAAGATAAAGTGACATTGTGTTGCCTCATCGTACCTTGAAGGATATTTCAGTGGTCATGGTGAATCCATGTGTAATGACTGGCTCTTCTTCTGCCGTTCGCCCCTTCCAACAGTCCAGCTCCACACAGCGGCAGCCTGACAAGAGCACTTGGCGATACATCTCTACTGAGGAGCTCCCAGCCAGCTGTCCAGCTGCAACAACATAACAAGGACATGGAACAAGGGGATTCATTCTGGGCTGCTAGGGTAATCTAATAATAATGAGTGCTAACAACATCATTTACCCTCTGGTGACAGGCAAGCTGTCAAAGACATCGATAGAGCATGGGATCTAAATGAAAATGACTTAATACAAGACGACGACACAGTCCAGATTCTGTCTTTATTTACAACACTGTAAATCAGGACTAACTCCACTGAAGGCAACAGAGTTACCCTGTTTCAAAGTCACCAAGAGCCCAGAATCAAGCCCTGAACAGACTGACACACCAGTCTCCTGTATTTCACATGTTTGCATGTTTAAAATGACTAATAAACATGCATCTTTGACGTCAGCGAGATTTTTTTATGATAAATGCAAGACTTCATGGAAAAAAGGTTTTGAAAAGTTCCTTGCGAACCTTGTCTTCAAAAGTAAAAAGAAACCCAAGTTAGCCTGAATTCCACATAAAGTTTCTGTAGTCTCAGTTCTGAAGCACATGTTACATTTTGAACAAGCAACACAAGATGCCGAGGCTACTCCACAAAACTGGAGCAAGCGGACCTCTTTTTGTCATAACTCACAATACAGTTTAGTGCCGGAGAAAACCAACAGCTGTCTAGTCACTAATGGCTCAGCAGTAGCTCCCAAATCAATACTTACCATATTAATCAGATTGGTTATTTGGGTAGTTAAACTTCCTGAGATGCAAAAAATCTACTCATATTACCTGTTTGCAATACTGACGTATTGTAATTTTTTTTAAAAAAAGAGCTTTTTCCCAATCATGGAGACTAGCAGATTTTTCCTCTCTTATTTAAACCATTTTTTTGTGTTTATGAAAGATTCTTGGCTTCCAGCTCTGGAAACACCTACTTTTACATCAGGTTCAGATCCATAATGGCACTGCAAAGGTCCTGTGGTAGAAGACTAAAGATAATGGAAGAATGGTCCCATGAGTAGTATGCCAGACGCAAATTGGAGTAACCTGGATTTAATGCCACAGATTTCCTCAGTTCCCATGGGAAAGTCATTTAATTCCTTTACACACAATTTTCCCGTTTGTAAAATGGGGATAAGTGTTTTCTTACCTCTTGGGATATGTCTACACGGAGGCAGTTTTTCAGAAGAGGAAATGCAAATAGAGCACTCATTTCCAAATCTTGCACTGACGCAAATTGGAGTAACCTGGATTTAATGCCACAGATTTCCTCAGTTCCCATGGGAAAGTCATTTAATTCCTTTACACACAATTTTCCCGTTTGTAAAATGGGGATAAGTGTTTTCTTACCTCTTGGGATATGTCTACACGGAGGCAGTTTTTCAGAAGAGGAAATGCAAATAGAGCACTCATTTCCAAATCTTGCACTCTCGTTCCGATCCTCTTTGCAGAAGACGTTTTTGCGTTAAAAAGCCTGTGTAGACGGGGCCATTTGTTGGGAAAAAACCCGTTTTGCGCAAGAGCCCTTATTCCTCAAAAAATGAGGTCTACAGGATCATGTGCAAAATGGGGTTTTGCTGAAACATCCACACTGCTTGTTTTTGCGCAAAAACCCCTTGTGCAAAAACGGATGGGAAGAGAATATGCAAATGAGAGCACAAGATTTGCAAATGAGCGCTCCATTTGCGTTTCCTCTTCTGAAAAACTGCCACCGTGTAGACGTAGCCTTGGGGTTGTTGTGAAAATAAACATATTAAACACCGTGAGGTGTTCAGATATACTATGATAAGAGGGTTGATAGAAGTAGGTCAGAAAGAATGATAATGTGCCTGTCGATGAATGTACTCCTGATTTGCCATTTTTATGGCCTTTCTGTGGGAAAGCTCTTTGTTGGAAGCTCAACTCCTCTGGTGGCTCCCCTCAATTTAAATGTCCAGTCTCTATTTTCTCTACTCTTTTCTCTTTAAGTAATGAAAAGCCCTCCTCTGGGTGTTGTTGGAATAATGTTTACAGTGCGGTGGCTGAAAACTAGTGGTCCTCACCCCTCTTACTCCCAAGCATGCTCCCCAGATACCAGAGTTGGAGCCAGGAGTGGGGTTGTGCCTTGGGGAGACACAGAGGAGTAAGGGGGCCACGGCTAAAACTCTGCTTACTATCTCCAAGCGTTGGGCCCCCAACAGAGCCCTGGGTGCAGGACCACCAGCAGCCAGAAGCTGAGCCCATAGATGCGGGTGCAGCAGCAGACAGAGCTCCAGGCGGGGGTCCAGCGGCAGCTGGGACCGTAGGTGCAGAGTAGAAGTGGCATCCTGGTTGCTGGGTTGGAAGCGCTGGGTCCTGAGTGAGGGGTGGCAGCTGGGATCCTGTACAAAAACTGAGCAGTGCTGCAGCACCCTCTGTACCTTTGGTTCCTACATCTGTGCCTCCTCTTTGAAAATGTTTATTTACGGATGGAGCCTGGGATAGAGATCTAAGGACTGAATTTTCAAAGGTGTTCTGCTCCTATTGAAGTCTGAGCATTTTTCCCCATTTCCATATGTTTAATGTATCTGTTGGTGTTTACAGGAACCTGGCTCCTTTCAACTCTTTCTCCCTGCTTCACTGTTATCCCCCGCCCCATTTCATATCTCCTTCCAGTTTCCCGTCAGTGTTTTCGCCTTTGATTCTGTACCATACGTTTTCAGAAGCAGACGGATGCACAAGTAGGGTAATCTTGCTTGCAAACACACCTGTGCCTACAATCTCACTGTCTGGGGTACACTATTGTTCATCCCCACCCCGCAGGATGCCCCCGTTGCACAAGCACCTATTTGTTTGCAGCAAGGCACAGATTTCGTGTCGGCATCCCAAGTGTCTGTTTTCACGAGGCATAAGGAAGTGGTCGAAAAAGGATTTCCCTTGTCGACCGATCCGCGTCTTGACTCATGCGCTGTGCCGATGATCAGCTGAGCCGGCACAGCGTGGTGGCCATTTTTATTTTAATGAAGCTGGCGATATTTATATCCTGGCTTCATTGACTATGTTAGGTAGCCTATTTTACGTGACTCTGTCGGCAGAGGCACGTAGTCTAGACATACCCTAGTCCTCTAATCCTCACTGAATTGTACGAATAAGGGGGAGCCTATTTTTGACCAAACCTAGTGTTCTTCCTGTGTAGCACAGGCCATGGGGCTCCCCCAAAATAAATCGGTAGCCTGAGGCCCAGTGTGCTACAGGAGCAGTCCTGGGAACTACAAGCTGTGGACTATAAACTGTGGCACGTTGCGAGAACTTCCTGGTTCCTGCCAGGATGTGCCCTCTGCTCTCCCAGCAAGGTCTCAGCAAGGACTGAGCTGGGAGCACGTAGGCTGTGTGCAGAGAAGAGGATGCTGAACTGGAATCCTGTTCTGTGTTCTTTACAGAGTAAAGCCTGTTCCCGGTGGTTGTTTGAGTGGGCCCGGCCTGAGGTGCGCACTCACTGACCCACAATGCAGAGCACACCAAGGAGCCTCAGGCCTAGAAGTTGTGCAAAAAGGTCACAAGGGTTCTCCTCTGCTGAATAATCTCATACGGGGCTAGTGAACAGGAGGGGCTACATATCCTAGAGCAGTGGTTCCCAAACTTTACGGCATCACACCCCCTTTTTGATTTTTGAGAAACCCTCACGTCCTCCCCCACCTCCTAATAGCAGCAAAACTTGTTGAGCAAAAAAAATAAATAAAATAAAATAAACTGACCAAGTCCGAAAAACAAAAATAGCAGCGAAACTTATGGGGTAGACTGACGGTGGGAGAGAGGAAGCTGGGTCGCCTAGAGCCCCCCCTGGAATTTCTTCATGCCCCCCCCAGTTTGGGAACCCATGTCCTAGAGCATACATTTTTAAAAGAAAACTCTCAGTCAATAGCAGCACCTCACGGTGAGCATGACTCAAACCTGCACAGGGAAAGCCCATTGATTTTGAGTCCAATGTGTTAGCTGCATGTTCATCACAACTGTCTTGGCTGTCAAGGAGGCTGGTCTACTGTCTCCGTATCTCTGCACTTACAATTACCCCTTCTTCTTGCAAACAACATAATTAGCAGACATTTTTACTCAGATCTAGATTGTTAAAATTGGTTGAGTACCCTTGTGTGCACAGCCCCTTCTGTGTGTGAAAAACATGTAATAGATGCATTTTTTCTAGCACATGGCCTGTTGTGTGTACCCTTAAACCACAGCTTATCACTGTGATAGCTATGCTATAATGCCAGGTTTGTTAGCTCGTTATTCTTTCTATTATATAGTGGTAATTTAAAAATCTGTCGTGTAAAAAATCCTGCATCAGATCTGATATGGAATTGCCTGATTGCCAAAGAGGTAACTTCAAGTCTGAATTTCAATGATTGAAAGAAACAAAGAGCATTTGCTCCCATTGACCTTCCACTGTGAAGATGGCACCATGCTCGGCCTATGGTACATTGACTCCAGATATGTCATTTACGTAGGTGGAGCTGCGAACCTTAAACTGACCCTCCTGGTCTAGTATAGACTTGGCATGACAAGTGAAGGAACAGGAGGGCCAAGAAGAGGGCATTTTATGTTTGCAGTAAGAATGTAAGAATTACTTTGCTACACCAGAACAATGGTTGATCTAGACCAGTAACTAGTCATGCAGACTGGCCAATTTGACCTAACCATGTTAGTCTGAATCTGCAAAAACAATCAGGAGTCCTATGGCACTGTGATGGGACAGAGACGCCCCTCACTCCGGTTCCCCTGGAGGCCGCGTACATGGCGGTGCTCGGGCAGAAGCCGGGCGCTACGGAGCCGGCT